ATGCTCAGCAAGTTATTAGTAGGAAGGAAGCAAAGACTTTAATAATAAAAATCATACAAAATAAACATGTAAATTATTGCTTGATAATCACAAAGAATCTACTCATCTTGTATAAAATAATTTACCAGTAAGTGTATTTAAAGGTAATTATTTCCATGTGAATACCTAAACTTTCACTCCTGAATACTTTTTTCAAATAGATTCAAAATTTTAGGGTTTTGGATTAATTGCTATTCTACCAGATACTTTTCTAATTTTTAAATGACAAATTTTAATGGAGCAACATTTACTTTTCAATTATTTTTCAAGGATACAGCATGATTTATGGATGAGGCAAGAAGATATCACAAGTTATTCACAGGTAAGAATTTTTAAAATGTGTATTTTCCCTAGAATTATTTATTCTCCTAGAGGATACACCAAAGGCCATTGATAGACTATTCTTTGTCTGCCAAAGTAAGATAAACCTACTTATGGTGTGTGCTAACCAAAGTTGTACTACCGGTAAGACTGTTAAAAAATATAATTATATACATCACCAAAATTTATTAAATACAGCTAACAAATTATGCAATCACCAGTATTAATAAATGGCTACTACATTTTAAAACCAGACTGGTAATTCTTTGTCAAGATAAAACGATATAGCAAAACAAACAACAGCAAAATACAGCAGCACAATTTCTCCTAAATCAAGGCTGCGAGTTAATAGTTGCCTACTGTTAAAAGGATGTGAGTTAATGGTTGCCTATGGCTGACAATGAGCTGCTTACTTGAAACTGTGCTAAGTGAAGAATCCTGAATATGCAGGTCATTGGGATTGCTGAAAAAATGAGGTGAACTGTAGGCAGAATGTAAAGACAACAGAACATAAGCTCCAAGAGGATTGACATTCTTAAATGCCTTTGATCAGAGCTGTCTTCAGTGCTCACAACATGGCCTCACATGTAACAAATACTAAATAAATATTTGTTGAATGAATCAATGAACAAACACATGCAAACACTGTTTCAATAAAGGTTTAAAGAAACTAAAAGAAAAACGTTTAACCAATAACATCAAAAGAATGTGTAAGAAAAAAGACCTAGCAATGCGACATTCAATGACAAATTGTAGAAGAAAGGAGGCAAATGAGAGGTGTTATTGCATCAACAGTCTGATAGTGTAGGTCTTTAATAACTATGTGGTGTGCAGCAGCAGCGTTGAAGGGAGAAAGAAGTCTCCCACAGGGACAGAGCATCTGAGAAAAGGGGCAAATGGTTTCCCAGGCAGCAATCTCCAGAAATAAGTAAGGCCAAGAGCAGAGCACATGGTCAGTGAGTATATTTATAGCTTAGACCCAAACACATAAAAATATACAGCTATGATACAGAAAATTAGGGACTATCTGCAGAGAGTAAAAGTTGTATCAACATGTTCGGCACTGGCTTTCCTCTCTGCTGCGTAGTTCTCGTTTTGTTTTTTTTTTTTTGGTTTTTTTTTTTTTGAGATGGAGCCTTGCAGTGTCACCCAGGCTGTAGCGCAGTGGTGTGATCTCAGCCCACTGCAATCTCCACCTCCTAGGTTCAAGCAATTCTCCTGCCTCAGCCACCTGAGTAGCTGGGACTACAGGCATGCACCACCACACCCAGCTAATTTTTTTGTATTTTTGGTAGAGACAGGGTTTCACTGTGTTGGCCAGGATGGTCTCGATCTCCTGACCTCGTGATCTGCCTGCCTCAGCCTCCCAAAGTGCTGAGATTACAGGCATGAGCCACCATGTCCAGCCCAGTACTGCCTAGTTCTTGATATAGACCTGTGTATTACAGCACATTCTCATCATATTCCTCTTAGAAACCTCTTAGAAACACACAACTGACAATCAGTATATGCCTGGTGAAGCATGAAGAACAAATGATGTCAATGAAACAATCTAGCACTAATTCACATCGTGAAATAACAGGATGCATAAAACACTACCTATTTTCCCCAACAAAACCTCCACCCTCCCTCCAGATACCCCGTTCTCCAGGAATCCCTTTCTATTTGCCAGGTGTGTACCTCTATCTTATTCTGAACTCTACTGAAGAGTTAGCCAACATCTACTTCATAAAATAAGATTGAGAGAGAATCCAAATGTTAGGGACAGAAAATTTGTATTAAAATGTAAATGGCCCAGGCACAGTAGTACATGACTATAGTCCCAGCTACTTAGGGGGCTGGGGCAGGAGGATTGCTTGAGCCCAGGAGAGTTCAGGGTTGTAGTATATGATGATTGTGCCTGTGAATAGCCACTGCACTTCGGCCTGGGAAACATGGCAAAAGCTCATCTCTTAAAAAAAAAAAAAAAGAAATGAAAAACTCATAAATGCAATTGCCATTTTAAGGTGCTAGTGTGATATTGTGCTGGCCTAGAGCCAGAACCAGAGCAAAACTATTTTATAAAATGCAAAACTGTTTTTAGATAAGTTGAAATGGCTGCCCCATTCTCCTCACAATAACTACTGTCCTTGGCCTCTGTAAATAGAACTGCCAGTTTGTTCTTCAAAACTATGTAAAGCTGCTTACCTTTTCTTATCAGTAACTGCTCTCTGTGGCCCTAATGTGACAGGCAAGCAGTCCTAACCCATGCCATCTTGGCTCCTGCGACTTGTAATAAGTAACTAAGGTCTGTGATTTCCACCTTAACCAGATAATGTGTAAACAAATGTTTATCTTGACTTCTGTAAACCACTTAAGTAACAAACGGAATGACAAAAGTCCCCATCCCTTGGAATGTCCGGGGACCCCCACCCTCATCTCTGCCCAGGAGGTAATTTACAGAATCCACTAGCCCTCGGAATGTCTGAAGCCTTTTCATCCCCATCCCTGCCCCTCACCCCCACTCCCAAGGTGGTTTTTCGGGTATAAAAAATCGTGGCACCCTCCTGTTGCCGCCACAGGTTGGAGAGACGTGAGTCCTCTGTGGTCGCCGGCATAATAAATGACCCTGCAACCTGGCATACTTTTGTCTTGTGATAACTTTCTACGCTCCGGTCAAATACAACACTAGTATTGCCACATTTCCATGATAAGAAAGGAAGTAAACGGTATTGGCAGGGCAAGGCAGGAAGGGTCAACTGAAGACAACAAAAATAAGAGGAACAAACGTATAAAGTTGAAGAGACTGTGTCTAGAGTCTTCGGGTTGCCCCATCTCAAGGCAACTAGTAACTTCTGTCAAGGAACAATGGTGCTTCCCTTCCTTTAAACTGGCTCCTCTATTGAATCTCTACGTGGTTTTAAAACCCCTTTATATGTTGATGACTCCCAAATGGTTATCTCCAACCCAGCCAGGCCTCTTCTCTGAGCTTCTGACTTTTATATCCAACAGTCATCAGTTCTCCACTTGGGCGTCTTAGGCTTTTCAACAAGCACAAAACAACCTGGTGTCGGCTCCCAAAACTATTTTTTTTCCATCTTAGCAAACAGCACTACCCCCTACCCAGGTACCCAAGCCACAGACCAGTGAGGTATCTTCAATGTCTTCCATTTATTTGTCCTTCACATCCAACCTATCAAATCCTACTTCCAAATGTATTACTTCCAAAATATAGCTTAAATCTAGCAGTACTAATCGGGCATGGTGGCTCGTATCTATAATTCCATCACTTTGGCGGGCAAAGGCAAGAGGACTGCTTGAGCCCAGGAGTTCAAGACCAGCCTGGGCAACATGGTGAGACCCTGTCTCTACAAAAACCACAAAAAATTAGCCAGGCGACAGGCCGGGGCCACTCTCCAGTGTTACCTGAAGGCCAAGGGGGGATGAGGATAGCTGCTAATACCAGGAGGGGGATAGGAAGGACTCTTTTCTATCTATCTTTTCCCTATGTGTGCAATTGGCAGCTCAACCAGGATAAATTCACATCCTGGTGCATGCCTGTAGTCCCAGCTACCCTGGAGGCTGAATATGAGGATGAATAGGAGGATAACCTGAGCCTAGGAAGTAGAGGCTGCAGTGAGCCATGATTGAGCCTAGGCAACACAGTGAGACCCTGTCTTTAAAATAAATATATATATATATATATATATATATATACACACACACATACATACACACACACACACACACACACACACACACACACACACACACACACACATAGCACTACCATATTCTATTGCAGAGCTCACCATTTCTTTCCTTTGAGGTAGAATAGGTCTGGAGGCAGGGAACCTAAGGTCAATTCAAGCTGACCTCCTAGAACTAAATCAAAAGGAAAACCCCAACTTTCCACACCCAGGTAACAAAAGGACCAGAGGCTACTCCCTTTGTAATCCACCAGCCCCTTTTCTGCATGGCAGATGAAAACATTCAGGGTACCTCTGATCTCCTCAGGCTGGTCATGGGCCAAGTCTTCACTTGCACAGGAGTATAACTTTGTAACTTCACTTCAGCTTCTGATTGGTTGCAGAAAGTGACCAATCAGACTGACCATGAGGCCATTACTTCATTTACACAGGGCATACATTAATCCATGGGAAATCTCTAAAAGATATTCAAACCCCAGGAAATTCTGTAACCTGCACTCTTAAGCCACTAGCTCAAGTCTGCTCTTACCTATGGAGTGTACTTTCATTTTCAATAAATCTCTGCTTTTATTGCTTCATTTTTTTCCTTGCTTTCTTTGTGCCTTTTGTCCAATTCTTTGTTCAAAACGCCAAGAACCTGGACATCTTCCACCAGTAACATATTTTGGTAAGCCATCCAGGAGGTAAGCCCAAAGTTGGAGATTTATTTTTCTTCTCCTTTCCCTTTTCCTATCTGCTCCATACAGGGGAATGCTTTTCTCTCTCTTTTCCCCTTTCCAACTCGGGCCCCTCAGCAGACAGTGCCTAACTAGGCACAGAGGCAACTGCAGGTTTCTGGCCAGAGCCACTCTCCAGTGAAACCAAGAGTTTTCTATGTGGAAGCCACCACCACGCAGTTTGGATGAGAGACCTCAGTCCTTTTCCTTTTTTCTTTTTCCGTCTTTCAGTGGCCTAGTCGCTCCTTAGTAATTGTGGGCAACTGGCCAGGGCCACTTTCCAGTGTTACCTGAAGGCCAAGGGGTAAATGGGGATAGCTGCCCATATCACAAGGGAGAAGCAGAGGACTCTTTTCTATTAGTACCTATTAGGAATTCTATGAGGAATTTCTAGTAGTACCAAGCTGCCTAGTCCCCGGCTATAGTCCCTGATCCCTACGTGTGTTGCAATTGGCTGCAGCAGCTCACAGGGTGAATTTACACATTTCAGGTGACTTAAACCTTCTTTTCTTATGATAAATTCTCCTACAGGGTTCTTAAGCCAAATTACCCTATAGAGTTAACCAGTAATGGTAAACAATAATGTTTCTTAGAAGTTTTGACCTCCTTTATCCTACTCTGACCGGCTAAGGACAAAAGAAATGCACCCAGCCTCTGGTTTCTATCATTGAAGTTCATGGCTATCAATCTAGTGGAATGGGAAGCAAAGGAAAGTGTGGCTTTATCAAACTATAAGGATGCTAGAAGTCGAGGCCTTTATCCAGGGACAAAACAAAGTTCATAGTAGGCCATCACCTCTGGGGGGAAAACACACAAAGCAGCACCCATGCCCAACTAAAGTCAGAGATGTCTGACACTCTAAGATTTGACCCCAAAAGGGGACACCCCGGGGAATCCAACTCCAGACCTGAACCTCTCCATAGGGGATGCCCTCAGCAGAGGCTCTGAGGTCTAGTGAAAGGCCTCCCTGGAATTTTCTCTTGCAGGTGACAATGAGACAGTTTGGACATTCTTGGGGCTTATTTGTTGCTGCAGCAGTTGGACTGTGTTCTGGGAATTGTTTTTGTGTGTTTGATATAGTCATGGGAAATAGGGATTCAGTAAACTTGCTATTCTTTTGCAATACTGTTGGCCCCCATTATTGTTTGAAATTCTGGAGTTTGCTGTTGAATAGGACAGTGGGATGGAGGTGCATGTATCCAGGCTTTTGTACTGCTGTTCTAAGTAGGATCAGGCCTGGTTAGTATGTGATGTTCTCCTTTAGTGCTGTTTGGTCCCGGTGTTTGGAGTCTGGAGAGGTTTGCCCTTTAAAAATCAAACTACCAGGGAAACTGCTTTACCCAAAATTTTGGTTCACAGCCTTCATTGGATTATCCATTGGGGCAAACAAAGTAAAACCAGTGGGCTTGTATTGCTATTTCATGGCTAGAATTCCAAGGTAAAAGCTACTGGATCCTCATATGTGTGTGTATATCCATGTCTAGATGTGTTTATTTGTATGTACATTTGTTATATGTCGTGTCTACCAAATTGGCTTATAATTAAGGGAGAGCTCATAAATTAAGTAAGTCTAAACAATTTTCAAGTTTAAATGACTTAAGTATAACTTTACTAAACAAACTGGTACTGGAGTGCTTACTGATCATGTGCCTAGAGTGAATTTCTTGATTGGACAGTATGTATGCTGATACTGGTAGAATTAGGGATATTGAGTTGTGTATCAGGAATAAAATATTCATTATGTGGATTTTTGGGGGGCTCTGGATAACACTGTAGCCTCCAGAGTGGACTAAGTAGGAAAAATGTAGGGATGGTTTCCTGTTTGTTTTTGCATCTAATATTCATTTGTTTGCCATTTGATCTCCTTCAGGTTTTACTTGTTGTATATGCATATAAATAAAATCACAGTTGTTGTTGTTGTTGTTGTTGTTGTTTTAGTTCTTAGTGGAAGGCTTTTATTTGTTTCTGTGAATAGTTATTTTTGTTTCCTGTGAATTTCCAGCAAGTCATCATGTGTTCTATTTATCTGGAATTCCTAGGCTACCTATTTCAGGCCTGCAGGAATTGATGGAACACACCAGCCACTTGAAATTTGGTTGGTTTTGCTTGCCTCTGATAATCTAGACAGCAAAGGCTCTTGCTTCAAATGCAAGAAAAATGAGAATTGGATAAAGGACTGTAGAGAGCCCTTGCCAGTCCCCTACCAAAAATGTGAGGGCACTAGTTATGACCCCTGGCACTGGAAGACTGACTGGTCCTGCTCTCACCTAGGGGTTCAGTTAGGCAAAACTCTAGCAGTCCAAAAAGAAAAATCAGATGAAGACTGAAGGGGCCCGGGGTCTTCCTCAACACCACTGTTCAGGAACATCATAATTACTACTCAGGAGCCCCAGGTAACTGGATGTCATGGGCATCCAAGTTCAGTTTCTCTTCTACACAAATTCAGTTTCTTTCCTTGCTGCTTATGTTGGAAAACTTTCCTCCCAAGCCACAAGCATTATGGGAATAGAAGGAAAGCCATAAATAAGATCCTTTACTCCTCCTTTCATTTGTCAATTTGAGAAACAAATCTTCCAACAGGAATTTCTATTAGTACCAAGCTGTCTAGTCCTGCTGTTGAAAAGAGATATACGTACTAATATGTGGTTAAAATAGGGTCACTACTACAATTTAAGCATCATCTGGTGATACTGCTAATAGTCAAAAATACAGACAATGTCCCAGACATATTAATAAACAGGTTAACCCACTGTCATGGTATACTGGAAAACCAGGACAGGCTAAAACAGCAATGCCAGTCAAAATACAGCTTAAAAATCCCCAGCTATTTATTTTCCCAATCAAAAACAATACCTATAGGCCGGGCGCGGTGGCTCAAGCCTGTAATCCCAGCACTTTGGGAGGCCGAGGCGGGTGGATCAAGAGGTCAAGAGATCAAGACCATCCTGGTCAACATGGTGAAACCCCGTCTCCACAAAAACTACAAAAAATTAGCTGGGCATGGTGGCGCGTGCCTGTAGTCCCAGCTACTCAGGAGGCTGAGGCAGGAGAATTGCCTGAACCCAGGAGGCGGAGGTTGCAGTGAGCCGAGATCGCGCCATTGCACTCCGGCCTGGATAACAAGAGCGAAACTCCGTCTAAAAAAAAAAATACCTAATTAAGCTGGAAGCAAGGAAAGGCCTAGCATCCACAGCTGAGGTAGTACTTATATATGGGCTCTTAAGATCCTGAAGTTCTCCCTATAATATCCCTACCTTTGCTGTTCTAAAGCCTTCCGGGTATTACTGGCTACTACAAGACTTCAGAATAATTAATGAGGCCGTTATCTCTGTCCACTCATTGGTGGCAGATCCATATACTCTCCTGGTTCAGGTGCCAGGGGATGCTAAATGTTCTCAGTCCTAGACCTAAAAGATTTCTTTTCCACTTCTCTGGCCCCAGAATCCCAATACCTTTTTGCCTTTGAATGGGAAAATCCTAATACCAAAGAAAAACAACAATACATTTGGACAGTGCTCCCCCAGGGTTTTCAGGATAGCCCCCTTTTCTTTGCTTGAGCCTTAGAGTGGGATCTGAGAGGTTTGCAATTAAGGAATGGGAGTATATTCCAGTATACAGATGGCCTTCTTGTGGGTAGCCCAACCCTGGATGAAAATACTATAAAAGCTTTGAATTTCCTGGCAGACAAAGGTACAAAGTGTCCAAAAAGAAGATTCAGATTACCCTCCAACAGGTCCACGATCATATCCTTAGCAGCTAGCAGAGTCTGGCATCCAGAAGAAAATAAAAATCCATAGAATGACTGAATAAACAAGCTCACATCCATATAATGCCCAAGAATCAGGGGCATGGAAAGGCCAGGATGAACTGTTCTCAGAAAACAGCACAGTGTAATAAAGGCAGCAAACATACCAGCATAAAGCAGCATCAGTGTCACCTACTCAGAATCTAATCTGACTACCTCCTATTTAAGGAGTACCTTTTATATGTCAAAACAACCAAAATAAAAGAGTCAAAAGTATTTGCAGCACATGTGAAAAGCAGAAAGTATCTTTTTCAATATTTTTAATACACAAAATATTAGTATATAAGTAGTATGGGAGGCTTTGGAGTCAAACACATCACGATTCAAACTCTGGCTTTGCTACTTACCAGACTTGGGCAAGTACTAACACTTCTGAGCCTCAATTTTCTCATCTTTAAAATGAGCATAATAATATCTAGCTCACAAGGTTACTGTGAAGATTATAAACTGATGTCTAACACAACACCTGGAAAAGAGCAGCTATGCAATAATGATAGATAGTATTGGTATTGATGGGAAAAATACTGAGTATACTTTTAAAAATAAGTCAAGTTAACAAAAACATAAGAAAATATTCCTCAATGGAAATGAAACAAAAAGTAAAACAAAGTACAGTTAGCACAAAATACCCAAGAATGTACATGCACACACCTGATTTTAGCATTAACATCCAATACTCACACTCTTATACATATCATGGGGTATAAACTGGAGTATAAATTTGAACTATGCATTAAAACATTCAGGACTCTATCCTAAAGAAATAATCTCAGATACATAAAAGCCATATACATGAAATGCTTATATCTACATTATTTATAAAATTGCAAAACTGTAACAACAAAAACATAATGGTAATTATTTAAAGGTTCCACTTCTTGAATGAATGCTTGCTTCTCAGTTGTCAAACATCGTGTTAAGTATATCACTAATATTGTTTTATGTAGCCCTCATAACAACCTTCTGAAGTAAGTATTATTTTTAACCACTTGCATATGAAGAACCTGAGGCGTATAGAGGATAACTCCAAAGTTACAGAAAGCCAAAACAAGATCAAGCTTAGGACAATCAGATTCCAGGGTCAAGATTTTAACTTGTAAAAGAATTGTAGCATCTTTACTCAACGGAACATTTCTTCTAAATTCTCAAGAACATTATAAAAACTACATTCTAGGAAAATGCTTCTGATTAAATAAGTTGTATTTGTATTAAAACTAAAAGTAGGAAAATACTACACTAAACTGAAAGGAAATACCTGTAAGGATACACATCAAAACAAAATGAAAAAAAAAAAAAAGAGAAAGGATACACACCAAAATGTTAGCAATATTTACTATAGTGGGTGATTTTTTTTTTTTTACTTTTTCTCCATTATCCAAATTATCTGTAATATGCTTGTATTATTTTTATGATAGGAATAAGCTTATAAACATGGTATCATTTTACTTAGATTTTAGTAAATTTACAACTATGGAAAGGTGGATTAAGAAAACCTGCACTGTTTCTCAAGTATTAGGCCAAAATTTCCTTGCTTTGAAGACAGAATTGAGGGCTCATTTTGGTGGTGGGAAAAAAAAAAACCCTACTATTAACCTTTATAGTACCTACTGTTAGATGAGACACCCTCCTAGTAAATCTACACACATTTTAGTACATTGTTTAGACTAGAAGCTCTGAAATCTCTGGAAGCTCTGGAAAGACCAATTAGATTCAAAAGCTGGAGCTTTGGAGCTACCACTAACTTATCTGTGTAATCTTGGACAAACTGTCTCAAGACTTCCATTAACCTAACTGCAAAACGGGAATAAAAACATTACTAACCTTTTAAGGTTGTTCTAAGCCTTAAATGAGATGAAAAAACGTACACACAGTGCCTGGCCCTGGTAAGCACTCAATAAATCTTCATTCTTACCCACAAGGAAAGACATACTTCCAAAAATGTCAGCTCAAACATGTACGTGAGAAGTTATTAGACAAGGAAGCAATACATGTTTCCCTACAATTTCCTGATATTCTGATGAGAAACACTGGATCTTTAGAACATCACATGAAACTTGCAGAAATGGTAAAAATCATGTAATAGTCACACTATGAGGAGTTTGCCACATTCCCTCCTATGGCTTCCTTCTCCCATCACCTTCACCTACTTGGCTAAGTAGCAGCATACTGCAGGCACAAGCTCAGTATTAAGCTCAAGTGGAAAGACTGGATTCTTTCTTATCTGTAGGAAGAACCTGTTCTGTGACCTTGGGAAAATCAACTCAGTTACTTAGTCTCAGCAGAAAAAAAAAAATATATATATATATATGGATATATATGCTTTTTTTGTTTTGTTTTTTTCTGTAGATAAGAAGAAACCAAGGGACAAAGTAACTTGTGTCTGTGGATAAAAATGAACATGGAATCCTTATGATACATATATATCACCAAAGCTAGTGGCCCAGTCCCGGACAGGCTGGAACAACACCTAATGCCTGAGTTGGGAAAGCAAGGATGGAGGAGAAAGGAAGGGGGGCGTTCCCTGGGCACCACCCCTCCACCCTCAGGCCCTTCCAGACAGCAGCATGCCCTCTCACCCCTCTCAAAGGTGCGGGGGAGCGGGGGCTGCGTCCCGAGGGCGGAACAGTGACAAAAATTAGCGCAAGAAGTGAATCACAGTTAGACCCTGGGGCAGGGAGGTTCTAGAGCGTAAGGCAGGATTAAGCTGGGATGCAAGGATTGCTGCCTGCCGGCCCCTGCCCCTCGCGAGCGTCTGCGAGCCTGGGAGTCTGGGCTGCAGCGAGACCCGGTGGGCAGTCCCTGGCTCACCGTACTCCCGGGGCTCCGGGTCCGGCTGGAAAGTGAAATGAGCCACCTGCCGCCTCTGGGCCGCATCCTCGCCAGTCACGGTGGGGTGCAGAAAGCCCCGCGCCAGGCCCGCGCCACAGAGCCGACGCCAGTGCCTCTCAGCCCCTGCCGCCCTGAGGCTGAACAGCCACCTGGCAGCCGAAGCCACAGCCGCCATCCCCGCTTGCCGCCGGGTTTCTCAAGCAATGCCGCGGCTGGCTGCCAGTGGGGAGGGCGGAGTACCCGAGACGGCTTCCACATTGGTCGGGCCAGAGGGGCGTTCCCGTGAAATGGACCAACCGGAACTGGAAATTCCGGGGCGGGGAAGTCGACGTGACTAGGTGGCCGGCTTCTGCTCCTTGTGCGCATGCGGAAAACGGGCTTGGGGCGACGGAGGTGGAGCCAAGGAAATAGTTTCTGGGGTGGAGCCTCCCCGACGCCAGCTGTGCTGGCCTGGCTTGAGGACCCGAGTCTGCAAAGTTCCACACAGTGCCTGGAAGCGATCTTTTCCGGTGTCATCTACAGTGCCATTTCCAATGGTTGTTTTCATTTTAAGATCCATTCTTTTTTTTTTTTAATGTAACCCTTTTTTCTCCTCTCCTATTCTGTCTCTATTATTGTGTGAAAGCTGAAGAAACGTACTGATTGGCATTGGTTATTGGTTTTGACTTTCAGAAAACTGCTGGAGTCACTGCTCAAAGCCTCCACTCCTTATTCACACCCTCCTTGAAATGCTTAATAAGCATATATCAATTTTTTATTGATTTTGTTTTTCCAAATTTAAATGAGAGATGAAAGAGGTAAACTTAGATTTCATCCCTCAAATCTGAAGGATGAATAGCAATTCAGATACATTTTGCCCAGAAGTAGAGAAAATTACAAGACTGGCTAGCATTGAAACTTGGAGAATTTAAGCCACTAATTTTTATTTATACTAATCAACTATGTAAATTTGTTTTAATCGAAGCATTTTACCAGGATACCTTCTCTGTCTATGAATTTACCAAAAAAAACATGTAAAATATGAAATATTATAAAATCAAAAATGACAAGAGGCTATCGTGACTGTGTACGTTAGATGAAAATGAGTCGGTGGGGAAGGATGGGCCCAAAACAGGATTTGAAGAAGAAAGGGAGGAAAAGAACATTCCTCTTCCATTATGCCTGGCCTCTAACCCATCTTTGGTTTTGCACAGGGGCAAGAGAGGAGACAGTGGAAACTGGTGAAAGGGAAGGCAGACAGATGCGTTTTCTGACTGAGATTGAGAAACAGCAATTAAAAACTGCCTTAAGGGAGAACCAGAATTACATCTCCATTTTTCCTACTCCCACGCTAAGTCCAAAATTTAGCATTTGGGAAATTTTTCATCTTGGCTTTTGTTAGTATTCACTTCTGCTGTTTTAATAGTGTGGGTTAGTGTGTTTTGCAAGCTCATGAAGAGTATTTTTGTTTTAATGAAAGAAAGCGGTAACAAAATGAAATTACACTTACATAGTCAAATTTGTGTTTAAAATAAAGAGAGTAAAGAACAAGGTTAAAAATGAATAGAGCTTTTTTTTCTACTTAGTTAACGGACCTGGGGGTGCTGAGATTACTTAGGTCTGGGAAAAAACAGAAAAATAGTATAATAACTGATGGGAATCTTATTGAACTCTGCTGTATACAAGCCAGTGACAAGCCACCATTAAGACAAATAAGATTAAGTCATAGTTTTACTTTTAAAATGTCCAAGTTGGTAGAAAAAAAAGACAGATTAGACAACTACAGTCCAGTGTGTTAGGGGTCCTAGAATAGTGCAAACAAAATGAAACACAAAAAGAGCAATAAACTCTTCTTTGAAAGTCAAGTGTTTCCAGAAATAACACTGAGCCAGACCTAAAAGATGACTAGAAATTGCCAGGCAGACTAGGGAGGAAAAGGAATTCCAAACTAAGAAAAAAATCTGTGAAAAGGGTGATAGGCATGAAGAGCACAGTGCTTTCCAGGAAGAGAAGGTAGCTTGCTGCTTCTAGATTCAGGAATAGGTAATGATACAGGGTTAACAGAGAAAGTAGAAAAAACAGATTAAAGGGAGATTTTGAAGGTTTTGTATGCTGGTCTAAGAGGTGCGAACTGCCAACTACATGTAGCCAGGAACAACAAAGATAGCATCTGCCAGATTCACCTACTTTGCAAACTACATTTTTTTTAATTTTCCCCATCTCTACCACACCAATCGCCTGATAACAATGAAAAATGGTATTCGAATGGGACTTTCCTCCATTCTTCCAGCCCTGGCTGCATTTACGTGATTTGGTAAAATGTCCTTTTCTGGAAATTTCAGAAGTCTAATTTAGAAAGAAAGACCAGGCAATCTTTAAATGCCACTAGGAAATGCAAAAAAAAAAAGGGAGTTTCAGTAATTTTGTGAACCAGAAAATATGAAGAGTGTGATTACATTTGAGTTCTTGATTCCATTTATTCCCAAGTCCTAACAGCTTTCTGGTCCTGGGGTTCTGTGAGACATCACCATTTCCTTAAAATGTATTCCCCTCTTTGCTTGAGCATTTTTTTTTTACATTGGTCCTAAATCTTTAATTTGAATGTCATTATATAGGGTATTTAAATAATAGGTAATTAAAATGACAGTGTTAATGTCAACGTCAACTTATAAGGTCTCGTATAAGACAAAATTTTTAGAATTTATTTAAAAAATATTTGTCTTAAAATTTTTTTTAATTTATTTATTTTACTTTAGGTGTATACTGTATCTGGCATTTTTCCTCATGTTATCCCTCCCCTCCCTCCCCAACCCCTGCTGTCTCTCCCCTACCCCCCTCAACTGCCCCCAGTGTGTGATGCTTCTCTCCCTGAGTTCACGTGTTCCTGTTGTTCAACACCCACCTATAAGTGAGAACATACGGTGTTTGGCTTTCTGTTCTTGTGTCAGTTTGTTGAGAATGATGTTTTACAGATTCATCCAAGTCCCTACAAAGGACATGAACTCATCGTTCTTTATGGCTGTGTAGTATTCCATGGTGTTTATGTATCACATTTTCTTTGTCCAGTCTATCATTGATGGGCATTTGGACTGGTTCCAGGTCTTTGCTATTGTACACAGGGCTGCAATGAACATATGTGTGCATGTGTCTTTATAGTAGAACGATTTATACTTCTTTGGGTATATACCTAGTAATGGGATTGCCAGGTCAAATGGAATTTCAATTTCTAGCTCCTTGAGAAATCACCACACTGCCTTTCACAATGTTTGAACTAATTTACAGTCCCACCAACTGTGCAGGAGTGTTCCTATTTCTCCACACCCTCTCCAGCATCTGTTGTCTCCAGATTTTTTAATGATTGCCATTCTAACTGGCATGAGATGATATCTCAGTGTGATTTTGATATGCATTTCTCTAATGACCAGTGATGATGAGCATTTTTTCATATGTTTTTTGGCCTCATATATGTCTTCTTTTGAAAAGTGTCTGTTCATATCCTTTGCTCACTTTTGAATGGGGTTCTTTGTTTTTTTTTCTTGTAAATTTGTTTTAGTTCATTGTAGATTCTGGTTATTAGCCCTTTGTCAGATGAGTAGATTGCAAAAATTTTTTCCCATCCTGTTGCTTGCCAATTCACTCTAATGATGGTTTCTTTAGCTGTACAGAGCTCTGGAGTTTAATTAGATTCCATGTGTCTATCTTGGCTTTTATTGCCATTGTTTGTGGTGTTCTAATCATGAAGTTCTTGCCTATGCCTATGTCCTGAATGGTTTTGCCTAGATTTTCTTCTAGTGTTTTTATGGTGTTAGGTTTTATGTTTAAATTTTTAATCCATCTGGAGTCAATTTTAGTGAAAGGTGACAGATAGGGGTCCAGTTTCTGCTTTCCGCACATTGCTAGCCAGTTTTCCCAACATCAGTTATTAAACAGGGACTCCTTTCCCCATTGCTTGTTTCTGCCAGGTTTGTCAAAGATCAGATGGTTGTAGATGTGTGGTGTTTCTTCTGGGGTCTCTGTTCTGTTCCATTGGTCTATGTCTCTGTTTTGGTACCAGTACCATGCTGTTTTGATTACTGTCGCCTTGTAGTATAGTTTGAAGTCTGGCAGTGTGATGCCTCCGTCATTGTTCTTTTTGCTAAGGATTGTCTTGGCTATGCAGGCTCTCTTTTGGTTCCATATGAATTTTAAAGTGGTTTTTTCCAGTTCTGTGAAGAAGATCATTGGTAGCTTGATGGGGATAGCATTGAATCTATAGATTACTTTGGGCAGTATGGCCATTTTCACAATATTAATTCTTCCTAACCATGAGCATGGAATGTTTTTCCATCTGTTTGTGTCCTCTCTTATTTCATTGAGCAGTGGTTTGTAGTTCTCCTTGAAGAGGTCCTTTACATCCTTTGTTAGTTTTATTCCTAGGTATTTTATTCTCTTTGTAGCAATTGTGAATGGCAGCTTATTTCTGATTTGGCTCTCTTTAAGTCTGTTATTGGTGTATAGGCATGCTTGTAATTTCTGCACATTGATTTTGTATCCTGAGATTTTGCTGAAGTTGCTTATCAGCTTGAGAAGATTTTGGGCTGAGACGATGGGGTCTTCTAGACATAAAATCATGTCACCTGCAAATAGAGACAGTTCGACTTCCTCCTTTCCTAATTGAGTACGCTTTATTATTTTTCTTGTCTGATTGCTCTGGCTAGAACTTCCAATACTATATTGAATAGGAGCGGTGAGAGAGGGCATCCTTGTCTACTGCCTGATTTCAAAGGGAATTCTTCCAGCTTTTGCCCATTCAGTATGATATTGGCTGTAGGTTTGTCATATATAGCTTTTATCATTTTATTATATGTTCCGTCAACACCTAGTTTATTGAGAGTTTTTAGCATTAAGGGCTGCTGAATTTTATCAAAGGCCTTCTCTGCATCTGTTGAGATAATCATGTGGTTTTTGTCTTTGGTTCCGTTTATGTGATGGATTACATTTATGGATTTGCATATGTTGAACCAGCCTTGCATCCCCAGGATGAAGCCTGCTTGGTCATGATGGATAAGCTTCTTGATGTGCCATTGCAGTCTGTTTGCCAGTATTTTATTGAAGATTTTTGCGTTGATGTTCATCATGAATATTGGCCTGAAGTTTTCTTTCTTAGTTGAGTCTCTGTCTGGTTTTGGTATCAGGATGATGTTGGTCTCATAAAATGAGTTAGGGAAGATTCCCTCATTTTGTATTGTTTGATACAGCTTCAGAAGCAACAGAACCAGCTCTTCTTTGTATGTCT